ACACACACACACACACACACACACACACACATACACACACACACACACACACACACACACGCATACTCTTGCCATATCATTTACCATCAATCTTACAGAAAAAGCAATTACCTGCAGCCTAGATCTGAAGAACACAAACTTTGAAATAACATTTCCCAACAAGTTTTTGGATGATTCGATTCGAGATTCGGCCCAAAAATCTCTCTAAACACCGCTGAGCACACGCGGAGAGCCGATCAAAGATGGCGCGTCTCACTCGAAGTGATTGTACGACATTTTTCACACCCTTGTCAGCACAATTTTGATCATTTATTTATAGGTCGCTTTTAAGCACAAGGGGGCTATCCCGAAAAAAGCTGTTTTGAGAAAATCAAAAAGGTAAAGTTTTTGGCCCTTGTTCAGTGTCTTTAAAAGACAAGGAGAGTTTTCTCTATAACCAAACAAATATACACACAAACGAAATCAAACTTCTGCTATAGGTAGGGCAATGCCCACTTTTGGTGTAACTTTTGGTGTAGGTGAAGATTTCTGGAAACACCCGAAATCTGGGTTAGTCCGCTTGTCCTTAAAAGCAACTATTTAAGAGACGGGCTGCGTCAAAACTGCCCACCAGGCGTGGCAAGGGGAATAATGATAGCTTCCTTCACAGCAGAAAGAGAGCAGACGTACAGTAAAAATAAGAAACTTTCTGTCGCGAGAATTAAACTCAAGGGAAACTATCAGAGCCGCGCATTTTCGAGAAAAGAAACAACAAAAAACAACAAAAAACGATCAAAGCCGCACACTTTTTGACGATATCGATACAATTAGATCGCTGATTCCATCCAACGGTTACAGTCCCCTTGACCAAATTACTCTGTACAGCCCCCATCCAAATAATATATTCGTCTTTCTGCAGACGTTGAGCGACTTCCGGACCATTTCTAAGTTGAAATTAAAAACACAAACCAAACACAAAGGCGCTTCCGCAAGAAAGGAGGGAGAATGTGTAACAAGCAAATGTACACAGATGGACAAGTCTCACAACTTCAATTTGTATCCTGAATGAGCAAGAAAATGCTGCCCCAACACTTTAAAGATCGCCCCTGTCCTGTAGATGTTTTTATACCTGGAAAACCTATTCACTCAATACAAAATCTAATTGATATATTATTGTCCCAAGCTCAGTAAAACCCTGAGGGTACTTAATTTGTTGGATGATAACTGTTTTGGTCATCGGCTATCTAATTTTATCGATATCGTCAAAAAGTGCACGGCTTTGATAGTGCACGGCTTTAATAATTGTTTTTTTCCCCGAAAGTGCACGGCTTTGATAGCTTTTTCCCGAAAGTGTGCGGCTCTGATAGTTTTTTCCCGAAAGTGTGCGGCTCTGATAGTTTTTTTCCCAAAAGTGCACGGCTTTGATAGTTTTTTTCCCGAAAGTGCGCGGCTCTAATGCTCTCCCACCGTTCTCTGTAAGGACAGAGTGCAGATCAAACGCAATGTTGCTGCACGTTTCGAACAATTATACCGGAATCCGAAACACAAATTTTCAGATTTAAATTAGTTTACATTTTCAAGCTCGGATAAAGAAAATAGAATTAAAAAAAAAAAGTGAATGTGTATCAATAGCGGGGCGTATTGTGCTTCTATTTTTAAGAGTCCCAAATCAGCGCATCTTCAAGAGTGGTCTTTAATGGGTTAAAATAAAAATGAAATGGTCACAACCAAAAATTCGTCATTCAAAATATGTTTTGATATTAACCTTGTGGCGATACGGTCCCTTAACAATAAATATTACTGCTAAATATAGATTGCTGTGTACCGTCCGTAGATAGTAAAATATCTTGCATCTTCGTGCTTTGTCGAATGACAGGAATGTGTGTCTTGAATGAGTAAAAATAACAATGAAATGGCCACACCAGAAATTCGTCGTTCGAATTTTTGGATATAAACCTGCTGGTTATACGGTTCCTTAAATACAATACATGTGGGTGGTTGGCGGGTGCTTTGGTTTGGTTTGCTTTTTCTTTCCCATCAAACATCTATCGTCCTTATCTCCCCTCCTTTTTTTTTGGTGTTTGTTACTCTCTTGTAACACCTGATCTAATCTTCGGCTCTTATATGACCTTATGCAGTTGCGAGCGGCTTAAAACCTCTACTAAAACTAAAACTAAACCTCTAATCTTCGGCACTTATATGACCTTTTTGTGTTGCAATTGCCGTAAAACTCTTGCTAAAACTTTAAAAAACACAATAATAAATTATATTACAGCTAAATATAGCTTGCCGTGTGTCCGTAGAGAGGAAAAAAGAACCGAGGTAAAATGTCCATCCAACAGGTAATGACGTAATGTCCGGTGTGGCGTTGTGGCTGGATTATCCAATAATAGCACGACACATGGTCACATGGTCACTCGCTCCTCTGACCACTCGCGCGTCATCACATCACGACCTGGACGGGGAACGTCACCACTTACTCCAGGAAATCTCCGCCAATCACATTACGCTTAGGCATCACGTGATTTCTTTTTTTTTTTCTTCTTTAGTAGTAGTGGTGAGTGGTCACTCCAGGAGGTGGAGGGTTGATGTCGCGACTGCCTGGCAGTGTAGTGTGAATGCTTAGAGTTTGGTGGGTGGTCACAGAAGGAAGGAAAAGCAGAGGGAGGGAGAGAGAGAGAGGGAGGGAGAGGGAGAGAGTGGAGGGTGACTCTGACGGAAGCGACGTTCATCGCTCGCGCGCGCGTGTGTGCGCGTGTCTCAGATAGAGAGAGAGGGAAGGGGAAGAAGGGAGAGAGATTGGGTGGAGAGAGAGA